GTGATTTAGGGCGATCTAATTTAAGTAGGCTGAGGAAATAAAATACCACACCAACCCCGAGGACCCACTTGGAGGACCTAGAAAACTGCAATTATTGCTAGATAACACAACTGATTCAGAGCCCAAGACATCTCAGCCAGCTTACCAGCTGTTAGAAATTGTGGAAGTTGAAGTCCAAAACACTTGTAGTGCCGAAGTTTGTCCATGCCTGTGTTATAGCCAGTTTGCCGCATGAAAAATTACTCTGAAAACTGTAGGGTAATATATTCCTATATTCTAGGAAGTTCAGCTTTCCCTGGAGGATCTACTAGTTATTAAAAATGTTGAGTATCAATATACTTTGCTGATTATAGTAAAAACAAACAGCAGAGCTGAAGAGCCTGTTGTTCAGATTCCCAAAAGCCCCAGATCAGTACCGTGAGTTACTGAATTTGTGATGCAATTCACTGAAAGTAGCACTATTCATAGTGGTGTTTGTGGGTCAGTCCCAATCTCGAAAGTAATTGTTACCACAAGAAATTATTGTTTCTAAAGAAAGCAGAGCCCACATTCATTTTGGAATATGGGATGCATATGTGAAGGAAAGTGGAGCATACACTGAGTGAACAACCAATAAAAATGTCATTTGAGACCCCGAGTTGTTAGTTTTACCTCTCCCCAAACACAAGCCACATTGGCCATCTGCCAATGAATACTAGTCAAACATGCTGGTCCAGTTCACCATTATGGACTGGCTCCTGCAGAATGGGAATCAACAACCTACAAAGACCTGGAGTATCCCTAAAGCCAACTTCATAGAATGCACAGGTAAAATATGGTGTTGCCACTCTACAAACTACATTTTGTTTGTTCTTTTAAAAAGAAAAACCTTTAAGTAGTTTTGTCTTTTGAAACAACTACACACAGAAAAGTTTTGCTGACGAAATCCAGACTAGAGAAATTACACTGAGGATTACAACATCCAGAATCCTCTAAATGGGGTCATTGGCTTTAGTCCAATAAAATATTCCCAAGCTCTAATTGGATTCAATGTGATACCTTTTGGGAAACTGGCACTTCAGAAAGGTTATGTATAGCCATGTTTCAGAAAGGCTCACACACACCACCGTACCAGAGTATGACAATGCCACTCTCACACCAGATATGCAATACTGCGTTGCATAGTTAGATACCATCCCAGAGGTTACATGGCTTACACCACTATATCCTTCCCTGGCTTAATCAATGCATGGTTTTCACACCCATCAAACCCTATGTACATTTTAAAAAGATTGTTCAAGATGAAACACAGAAATACTTTTTACCACTAATATAAAGTACTTTCTATTAACTATGCAGATAGGTGAGCACTATGAACACTAAGCAATATTGCTTCTAAGATCCATGCTAAAAGAAAGCCATAGTTTTATGAAGACTCCCTGAAACATGTGTGACTTCCACAAGTAATTAAGCCATCACTATTTCTATTTTCACAGAGTTGCATGGGCAAACCATCAGATAAAAAGCAGTTATAGGATATCGGACGAGTCTACATAGGGACCACCAAATGCAGCATTGCCCAAACACGAATCAAGGAACATGAAAGGCACTGCAGACTACTTCAACCAGAGAAGTCAGCCATAGCAGAGCACCTGATGAACCAACCTGGACACAGCATATTATTTGAGAACACAGAAATGCTGGACCACTCTCACAACCACCATGTTAGACTACACAGAGAAGCCATTGAAATCCACAAGCATGTGGACAATTTCAACAGAAAGGAGGAAACCATGAAAATGAACAAAATCTGGCTACCAGTATTAAAAAAAACTCTAAAATTACACAGCAAAACAACAGAGAGGGAACAATCTGAGACATCTAATCACCTCTCAACAAAAGATTGCCCCAGGCATTGCCAGGCCATCAAATGCTAATCAAGGTGGTCAGTGGAAACATTCACACCTAGCTCCAACAGACAAGAGTTCTTTGTCCCACCCTGGTCATTCCACAGATATATAAACCCTTTTTCCTAGTTCCAACAGACCTCACTACCTCTGAGGATGCTTGCCATAGATGCAGGCGAAACGTCAGGAGAGAATGCCTCTAGAACATGGCCATATAGCCCAAAAAACCCTACAACAACCCAGTAGTATGATTATTTGTTTTCTGCAACTCACTATGATGGTTGTTAGAATACAAATTGATATCTTTTGTTTTAGTAACAAAGTTAATCCTCCTCCTCCACCTAAGATTTCTGACCGAGTCAGACCACTGGCCCATTCAGTATTATCACCTCCAATTGGCAGCAGCCCTTCACGGATGATCCCAGGAAGCCCATATCTGCCTAGTTTTCTTCAAGTTTTACTTTTAGCAAGCAAAACATGGCTTTGGTGGAAATGAAACCCTCCCCATATGATGTTTTTCTCAATTTTCACTGAATAAAGGACATTTGAATGAGCAGTTAACCAAGCCCAAGATCTAAAAATACTGCTCTGTGTTTTAAAATATGAAGCTTTGACGAGAATTGTTCAAAGAAAAGGACCTAGGCAAAAGGTACAAAAAAAACAAGCCGAAACAGCAGATTGCCACTCATGACATTCATTAACTCTTAGTGTTGTTTTTTTCCTTCACTATTTCTGAAGGCAATCATCCAGACGAATACATTACTATAAATTGGTTTGTTTCTTTTTTGTCGTGTCAGGAGCAACTTGAGAAACTGCAAGTTGTTTCTGGTGTGAGAGAACCAGAATTGCCCAGGGGACATTGCCCAGGGGACGTCCGGATGTTTTGATGTTTTATCATCCTTGTGGGAGGCTTCTCTCATGTCCCCGCCTGAGGAGCTGGAGCTGATAGAGGGAGCTCATGCCCGCTCTCCCCGTATTTGAACTTGCGACCTGTTGCTCTTCAGTCATACCGGCACAGGGGTTTAACCCACTGCGCCACCGGGGGCTCCTTATAAATTGCTGAAACACTTCTATAGGCACCTAAATAGTAATAAAATAATGGATACAATTTCATGAAGATTTGCGTGGCACTTATTTCCATAGCATTAATATAACAGTGATCTTTTTAGTGTATTTCTGTTAACAGAAACACATGGTATCCAGCAATATGAGCAGCATAGGCATAAAGAACACAACTTCATTATCCCCATGGTGTCAGGAAGAAAATATTAAAATACCAGTAGGGCAAAACTAACTCTATAAATAGTAAAAAGGAAAAGTACATTACTTCAGTACAACAATGATGTACACAATGGGGTAGCTCTGGGGAGAAAAACAACAAAAGTCAAGCCAGAATCAGCCAGTGACTATAATGTGGTAGATTTTCTATTTGTTAGAAGAAGTTGTGCCATATACTAAGACTATTATCACCAATTGCAAAAAACACCATCTGTTCTTGTGTTGCATAATGCTCCTCCTCAAAAACACTGTGGAACAAATCTTTGCAGTAAAATCTACTAGGAAAAAAAATCACTGCTGCTTTGCTAAAGAAATCACAACAGATAATCGGGATTTCCCATTTTTAATATCTAGAAAGCATTCTCTCAACACATCAGAAATTTCAAAGATCATCTCTTAACCTGGCAACATCCCAAATGATTCTGTGCTTCCACCACCAATGTAGCACTTGCCTTTTCAACACATTTTTTTCTCCTAAAATCATTCTGGAGAAAGGGATTAGGATAATGTCTCTATCAGATGTAAAACCTCAACCCATTCAATCAACTAGAGGAGCTTCGGGAAATTATTTGGACCTTCACATGGCATACAATTAGTAAGCCTCAAAAAAATCTTATTGGCTTTCTTCTTTTTCAGTTGTAGTAAAAGAGGAAGGTTCACAGTCCAAAGTGTTTTTTCCATTCTGACATGTCAGTTGGTTCCTAATAAATGCCCAGGGACTCCCATAATTGGAAGGGCAGTCTCCAAATTTTACAGCTTCCCAGACAGGAATGGGACACAGGTTAGAAATGGACTCGAATGGAAGATGCTGTTTCTCTCACTGAATTGAAAATGGTCCATATCAAAGCAGACCACCATGTATTATTGTCCCCTAAAAAAGAAGGTTCTCAAAGTGTTTTGTTTTTGTACTACTAGGAATCTTTGTGGAAGAAAAATAAAAAAAAACCCAATTTTTTTAAAAACCTGCTTGAACATGTACCATTTGAGGGGGACGGGATTCAAAGTGGGTGGGAACAGACCCACTGTTCTTTTTGAAGAGACACTGTCTGTAAATGTGCCCTCTTTTTCCTTTTAACCAGTGAGTTTTGATTGCCAGGATGACACTGAGCCAGATGCACACAACAGGCTGAGATGTTGAGGAACAAAGGCAGTTCTCTTGGTGCTGTTGTTGCCATTACAATTCCTTTCAAAGCATCGGGCCAGGGAAAAGGCAGTGTTCTGATGGCTTCAAGATCCTCAGTGTAAGAGCAGCAGCAACTCTGAAACCCCCTGGATGGATGGGCATGGGGCAGACCCCGTTTCTCCTCCCCTACTGTGTTCGTTCTCTCGATGCAAGAACTATACTGCTGCTGCAATTACCATTCTTCAAAAAGGCAGGATTGTGGTAGCTTCAAAACCCACAATATAGCAGCAGCAGATCTCAAACCTCTCGGATGGATTGGTTTGGGGGAAAGAGGCCCCTTTTCTCCTCCACTGCTTGGCATCAGGGAGGAGAAAAAGGCATTGCCTGGTCTCTCTGAAAAGGAACCCTGTGGGCTTGGGTCACGGGCTGCCCCTCAAGGAGGAAAGGGGGCAGACCGCCCTTTCCTCCACTGCTGACCATCAGAAGGGGGAAATAAGAGATTTCCTGATGTCTCTGGAGAAGATGGGCCTGAACCAAGTCCTGCCCTTCAAGGGGAGACTCGGACACTGGGCTGACCCCCTTCCTTCCCCATTCCTCTTCCACTGCTGGGCCTCAGGGAGGGGAAAGAGGGATTTCCTGGTGCCACTGCGGAGGGGCAAGGCCAAGTGCTGCCCCCCTTCGAGGGGCCGCTGTGGCATGGGGGAGACCCATCAGAAGGAAGATGTGGGCTGGGCCCAGTGCTGCCCATCCCGGGAGAGAGAGTCCTGGCTCCGCTGCAAGTGGGGCTCCCTCTTTTCTTTCCTTCCTTCCTTGCCTGGCTGGCCGGCTCAGGGGGAGACGCGGGGCCCGGTGTAGGGCTCCCCGCCGCACCAGAACTCGGGGGCCTGGGGGGCCTCCTGCAGCCAGACCTCCCTGGGCAGGCCCTGGGGCTCCTCGGAGGGCGGGGGCAGGGGCGGCCCCTCTAGGAGGCGGTAGTAGTGGCAGTCGCGCCCGTGCTCGGGATCGTAGGGCGGCGCCAGGATGTCGAGGAAGGCGGCGGGCCCGCCCTCGGCCTCGATCTGGTGCAGGTTGTGGGCCTGGGGCGCCAGGCGGCAGGGGGGCGAGGCCGCCGTGTGCAGGCGGTGCGCGCGCAGCAGGGCCTTGCGGCGCCGGCGGGGTGGCCCCGGCGGGGAGGCGGGGGAGGCCTCGCCCGGGTCGAGGGCGTCGAAGGAGGCGATGCGGAGCGTGCCGTAGAGCACCTTGAGCAGCCCGTGCATGCCCGGGTGGTCGTGGAGCGGGATGCGGGCCCCGGCGCGGAGCAGGAAGACGCCCATGCTGAAGCCCTCCGTCTCGCAGATGTGCATGTAGCTGGCCGGGGGCTGGACGGGGCCCGGCACGGCCGAGGGGCCCCGCGGGGACAGGCGCAGGTCCTCGGCCCGCACCTCGCCCAGCAGCTCCTGCAGGCGCTGCATGTTCTCCCCGAAGCGCGGCCCGTCACCGCCCCCGCTGCAGAAGGTGAGGCGGGCCTGGCGGGCCACCCGCTGGATGAGGCAGGCCGCCATGTTGTGGTCGCCGGGCATCGCCTCCTTCCTCCCCTCAGAGGCAGCCCCGCCGCCGCCGCCGCCGAGGATGGCGCCCGGCCTTCTGCGCATGCGCCGCGTCCCGCCCCGCCCCCTTCCTTCACGCTTCCGCTTCGTTTCCCTTGGAACTCTGGGAAGTGTAGTCCTGCCGCCCTTCTGTATTTTCATAGCCTAGGGCTGCAGCTACAATTACAGCTCCCAGGACTCCACAAGATTGAGTCATGGCAGTTAAAGACTAGTCCAGGCATGGGGAAACTTCGGCCCTCCAGGTGATTTGGATTTCAACACTTTACTTTGTTTCCTAATTAGTCGCTCTCCATCAAGGTGCTCCGAGCGACTTACAATCTAAAATAGCATTTACACAATATAAAAACATTCGGCATAAAAACATTCAACAGTGACTATTTGGCAAATTAGATCTGATTACTTAAATGCACAACCAAACAGCCAAGTCTAGGTCGCAACTCCGACATTGCTCTAATATATGGAGGCAATGAGTTCCACAGAATTGGAGCATAGGACAGTTTCAGCAGAAAGGAAGAAACTATGAAAATGAACAAAATCTGGCTACCAGTCAGGTCTGTAGCGAGGGGGTGGTTTTAGGGGTTCAACCCCCCCCCCCCGAAATGTTTCAGATTTTTTAAAAAAACTGGTTTACTCATGAATTTTAACTGGTTAACCAAATCCCCATGCTAAGTCTATGAGATGCAAAAAATTAAGAGTCCCTCCAGAACTGTAAGCACTATCTCAAGCAAATATTGACAATTTATTCACACTGTCATTACTTGCAGCAATAGCCGATGTAGTGAAGCAACCAAGTTGGGGGGGGGTGTTGAATGCTCTCATTAAGGAGGCCAGACTTGGTGGAGGTGGTTGACAGGGGCGGAGCTGCAGGCTATTGAAGGCTGCTCTGCCCCCTGCTGTGCTCTTTGCTTCAGCATGAGCTAGGAGGCAGGTTTCAACCCCCCCCCGAACTTTACCCCCCCCCCCACCGAAATTGTCAACCCTCCCCGAATTTTTTTTCTGGCTACGGCCCTGCTACCAGTATTAAAAAACTCAAAAAATTACAACAGCAAAATAACAGAGAGTAAACAATCAGGCACATCAAATCACCTCTCAAAGAAAGATTCCCCCAGGCACTTCCAAGCCATTAAACGCTAATCAAGGTGGTCAGTTGAAACATTCACACCTAGCTCCAGCAGACAAATGTCCTTTGTCCCACCCTGGTCTTTCCACAGATATATAAACCCATTTTTCTACTTCCAACAGACCTCACTACCTCTGAGGATGCTTGCCATAGATGCAGGCAAAACGTCAGGAGAAAATGCCTCTAGAACATGGCCATATAGCCCGGAAAACCTACAACAACCCAGTGATTCCGGCCATGAAAGCCTTCGACAATACAAAGAAAGAAACAATTGTTGCCCAAGGGCACAAATAAGACAATCAGGCAAGGCAACCGCGACTTGAAATTAGCCCTTACTCAACTCCCTTCTCCATTTTTTTGGAGTGAATCTCATGAAGTGTAGCTGGCTGTTGTAGTTGTGTGCCTTCAGGTTGAGAGAACAGCTGAGATATCCTTAACCATGAGATACAAAGCTTGAGCTTGCAATGGGAAAAGTAAAAATTCCCATGGTGATGGGGTGGTTAGGAGGATAGAGGATAAATATAAGGTTGTGAAGCGGCCACTGAAAGCTGGTGACTAATTTGCAGAGACACCCACTTTTCATCTACCTCTACACCTTGCGATTTGATTCTCTTCTCCACAAAGAAACCCCTACCCAGATGTAATAAAGGCAATGTAGATATAGCATGGTGATGGCAAACATCAGAGAACACAGGTCCCTTCTAGTCCAGAGATGATACTTGGGGCAGCCCTGGAAAGACTGGGATGCTGCTGCTGAACTTCATGGGAACAATGCGGCTGCTGTCAAAGAAAGGTTCAAAGAATACAGGGAAAGCAAGAATTAATGTAGTTCTATAGAGAAGGAAGGAAGTCACACTATGTCATAGCTTTCTCTTGAACTTTTGTTATTGTATTTTGATAGATTAACAGTGCTGCTCTATACATGTCTAGTCAAGTGTAAGCCCCAATGAGTTGAAAGGATTTTTCCAAAATGATTTTTTAAGTACCGTGAAAGTTTCAATAGCCACAGGAATGCATTCTCTAAGAAATCTGAAAGACTTGATCTGAATTGTTCATATATGTTATTTGTATTCCCAAAATTAATTTTGCAGCAGATTGGCCCCTTCTAAAATTAAATCATGCTTTGATTTTGTTATGTTAGGGTTTGTCCCACAAGTGATACCAAACCGGATGATAGCTTGGGCTTCAGCTAGAGTCATAAAAGGTCAATTGCATGACTCTCACTGATGACAAGTAATGTGGTGTTGTCTTGGAAATGTTATCAGATCACCATCAAGCATAACCCTGAAGATTTTTTAAAATATTTTCTTTGGAGGAAGACAAACTGGCTAAGTATCTTCATTATGTCTTTAGCTCAAGAGTGACACCTACAGAAAGAAACCTGCTAATATTAAAATTCTCCATTAGTAAACAGAAAAATGAAACATCTGTGGGACACTAAATCTTATTACCATCATGTGAGTACTATGAATCTGTTGGGTTTCTTTGTGTAAATTTAACATGTAAGCAAGAGGCAGTACACTGAAAAGTTACTTTTGGACCATGGCTTCCAAGACTCCACTGCTAGCATAGTTATTTTGGAAGTTCTCATCCAAGAAAAATTCCAGGACAGTTCTTCCGAAAGTGGGTGATATTGCTCCCTGGAGGTTGCTGGAATTATAGTACTCTGAGATGCAATTGGGGGCCAGTGGTGGAGGAAATTTAAAGAAAGGACAGAATAAAAATTTGAAAACCCATTCATACATATTTTGTGCTCTGCCAGTGTTTTGGGTTGGGTGTGCACTGCATAAATGCTAAGTATTTGTCCAAAAATGAATTAGCTTCACTTGCCCAATTATCCCTGAGATATCATCATGTCTGAATAGGGAGGAAGAAATCGGAGGAAGAAACGAGGAATTCTTCAAGGTGAAATGGCATCTGCTCTGGACATTGTCAGCTTGTCATCATCTGCTCCGAAGTCAATGGGTTTCTGCTGCTGTTGGAATCTGTCCAGAGAAACAAGTAGTAATTACAAGTCATGGCCAAGAGCGACAGACTCAGAGTGCTAGCGGTGGTGACAGACTGACATATCGCACCATGAGTACAATATGTGTGGAGGTGCCATGAGAGGATTTATCCAACAGGAAATGCATTTTTGTCTTAATGGTGCAGAAATAGTTACAACTAGTATGCAATTATCTCTACACATTTGAAGGTTTACCATTTGTAGATTTTATTATGCATGGATTTAATTACTCAGGTCTTTTTAGTAATCTCTAGGTCATCCAATGTATCCATTGGATACTCGTCTGCTTTCCTTATCTCTGAGCCAATTGAAGAGGCAAGTCTTTAATTGCCGACCCTGGTGTCAGTAGCTCTAATCTCTCTGACCTCAACAAACATTCATCTCCCCCAATTTCTCCTGGACTGCATTTCTGGCAGGTTCCCATGAGAACAACCTTCACCTTACTCCTGCGAACCATCATGAAATTCCAAAACATTTCTGCCAAGAGATTCCAAAACATTTCTCCCTGGGCCCTCTGAATCTCTCCCAGCATCCCAGCCTCATCTTCTGAACACTCAGAATCTGACCAGGCCACAACACCCAGTTGACTCAGGCAAAAGTAAACCTCTGCAGCCTCTACTTGTTTGTGGGTTCTTCCTCATTAATAATTTTAAGCATCTTAGCCACACTCTGAAGTTGCTCAGTTACAGGTTTTCATCTGAAATATTGATGGGTATGCGTCACCTATACACAACTTTGAGGCAAGTGGTGGAACGGCTAAACTCTGCCTCCTGCAAATTGATTTTCAGATGTAAATGCTCCCCTCTGGCACTTCGGATGCAAGAGAAACAGAAGAAACGTGGTAGCTCTGCCCTTAGGTTCCTTCAAGTTGAGGTAGTTGGCAGATCTCCATTTCTAGAATGAATTTGCTCCGGGTTTAAACTCAGACTGTAAAGGAACTATCCAAAGTGTTGAAATCTATCCCCGATTATTGTTAAGGAAATGATAGTTTTTTAAAAAGTCATGTTCTGGCCTCAAATAGCCATGGAGAAGGGGAGATAAAATGCGGTGAAAATGCCTTCATGACTCTTAAAGAGCATTTTCAGGTCCCTTGTGAATGCAGCTCTCTAAGAACTCCTGGAGGTCCAGTACATTTTTGTAACCTCTGCCAGTTATGTGTTCCTTTTCAAAATTATGGTAATAACCCTAGCATAATGTAAGTACTCTCATTTTCTAAATTCAGGGTCATTTTCAAGGATCGTTTTATACATCTGGGACATCTGATATTATCACAAAACACACAGAGCATCCTGAAGTGATGTACTCTTACAAGAGCAGTGCCACATTATTTTTGTGACTGTATTTTTCCTGGAAAAGGAGGAAATGTAGCCAAGCAGAGAATTTAATTGGGCAAATATAAATCTCACAGGTGCCTAGACAATATAGGCATAATTGTAGTTTGCCCTTAAACTGCTGGAATGTTTCTAGTCCTTCCACCCCAATCTTGAAGAAGTGCTTTGTAGAGTCTCAACTCCTATTGTCTCAAAACAAAAGCAACTTTCAAGAACTGCAATTGTTCAGGGGATAAAAAAGTCTCTTTCAGCTTTAGGGGCCTCCTGTGTAAATGCCACTTTCTTTTGAAAATAGTTGCTTGCAAATAGCTGCAAAACAATGCCTTCCTTTTGCAGCCTTGATGGAGATGTGAAACGGTGATATCACTTCATAACTAAGAGTATGATGAATTGTTTCCTTGAGGCTTATGAATCATTTCTTTGGTAGTGACCTCCTTATTAAACTTTATACCAAATACCAAGCTCAGAAATCACAATTTCTGTTCTTACAGTTATTCAGAGACAAACACTGCAGCTCAGTATTATCAGATAATAATGTATAAAACCAAAGCATTAAATAGAAATGTCACACCTTAGGTTAGATTAGGGCACTGAT